TACGCATTCAGATCAGAGAGGCGACCTGCAGTGCCTTGATCGATTGCGGAGCATCTCGCAACTACATCAGCCAGGACTTCATGGTACGCGCCGGCCTTGGCCCACGTGTCCGGAGGAAGTCCCAGCCTACGCAAGTCACTCTGGCAGACGGTCATACGCACAAGTCCATCGACCAGTGCATTGACGCCGTCCCAGTGTACTTTGCCCCTCACGTAAGTGAGGCGATGTCCTTTGACATTCTGGACACCAAATTTGACATGATCTTGGGCATGTCATGGCTGCGAAGCRAGGATCACCCGGTGAACTTCTTCAACCGCACCGTTCACGTTCGTGATCGGAACGGAGTATTAGTTCCATGCACGGTGCCTCTTCCTCATCCTTTGATCAGCTGCCACGTGGTATCCGCCGCAAGCATGCGAGCTTCCATCATCAGAGACGATATCGAGGAGATGGGGGTGTGTTTTCTCCATGCCCTCCCGCCACATGACGCTTCATCGACAGACTCACCTTCGGATCCACGCATCACCAAACTTCTCGACGCCTACAGCGACGTGTTCGAAGGCCCGCACGGAGTAGTACCGGATAGACCCATCCGCCACGAGATCATCCTCGAGGACGGGGCTGTACCTCCGCGCGGTTGCGTCTACCGAATGAGCGAGGAAGGGTTAAGTGTGCTTCGGGTACAACTCGACGACCTTCTGGAGAAAGGCTGGATTCGGCCTAGCTCATCGCCATACGGTGCTCCTGTTCTCTTCGTCCGGAAGAAGAACAAGGACATGTGGTTGTGCATCGATTATCGCAAGCTCAACGCGCAGACGATCAAGAACGCCGGCCCTCTCCCACGCATCGACGACCTTCTCGAGCGATTGGGCGGGGCCCAGTTTTTCTCTAAGCTGGATCTCAAGTCAGGGTACCACCAACTCGAGATTCGCAAGGAGGATCRCTACAAGACCGCGTTCAAGACACGGTATGGGCATTTCGAATGGCTGGTCATGCCATTTGGCCTTACGAATGCCCCAGCCACTTTCCAAGCGGCTATGACGACGGAGTTTCGACACATGCTGGATCGTTTCGTACTTATMTACCTCGACGACATTCTGGTTTACAGCCGGAGTCTGGATGAGCATGTGGAACACCTACGCACCGTTTTGGAGCGGCTACGACAGGCCAAGTACAAAGCAAACCGCGACAAGTGCGAGTTCGCACAGCAGGAGCTAGAGTACTTGGGACACTATGTGACGCCGCAAGGCATCCGTCCGCTTGCGGACAAGATCGAGGCCCTACGAGTATGGTCCGAGCCCACCAACACCACGGACGTTTGTTCATTCATGGGGTTGGTGGGCTACTATCAGTGATTCATCACCGGATACTCCAGGATTGCTGCACCTATGACGAGGTTACAGTCGCCAAAGGTGCCATTCATATTCGATGACGATGCACGCCGGTCATTCCAAGCACTTAAGACGGCTATGCTCATGACACCCATCCTTAGCATCTATGACCCCACCCTGCCGACGCGAGTGACTACGGACGCTTCCGGCTATGGCATTGGGGCAGTCTTGGAACAACACGGCGGCGACGACTGGCACCCTGTGGAGTATTTCAGCCACAAAGTGCCTCCCATCAACTCGCTTGATGATGCAAGGAAGAAGGAGCTGCTCGCATTCGTGATGGCTCTCAAGCGCTGGCGGCACTTCCTCCTTGGGCGTCGTAGGTTCACATGGGTCACTGACAACAATCCATTGACCTACTACAAGACGCAGGACACGGTGAGCAGCACGATCGGACGATGGATGTCCTTCATCGACCAATTTGACTTCACACCGAAACATGACCCCGGCCTCTCCAATCGCACAGCAGATGCACTCTCGCGAAGACCTGATCTTTGCGCTATGTCACATCATGCCCTCGCATTCGACGAGGAGCTTCAGCGACACTTCATCCGGGCATATCAGTCTGATCCGGACTTCGGCACGCTCTATGCATAACTATCTTCGGATCACCCGCCGGCCAGCCATTTCCGCATTGTCGACGGGTACTTGCTCCTCCACTCGAGAGGCAAGGACTTACTATGTGTCCCACGCGACCGTCGTCTTCGGACTCGCCTCCTCGGCGAGTATCATGATTCACGACTCGCCGGCCATTTCGGAGTCAACCGCACTATTGCACGGCTTCGACAGCGATTTCGATGGCCCGACCTCATTTCCGATGTCACTCGGTATTGCGACTCTTGCGAAGTTTGTCGATGCAGCAAGCCCCGCAACCGCAATCCCTACGACGAGTTACACCCGATGCCTATCCCATGGGAACCCGGTCTCTCCATTGCCATGGACGTCACCGGTCCGTTTCCTCGCGACCAGCTCGGGCACGACGGCATCCTCACGGTGGTGCCCCGATTGAGTAAGTACGCGCGTTTTCTCCCTTGCAAGTACTACTCCACGGCTCCCGAGCTGGCACGCCTCCTGCACACTGGTTGGATTTGTGGCCACGGTGTACCAGAAGACATTGTCAGCGACCGCGACACTCGTTTCATGTCGGCGTTTTGGAGTGCTCTCATGCAGGAGTCCGACACAACAATGAAACCAAGTTTGGCTCGACATCCTCAGACAGACGGGGAGACGGAGCGGGCACATCAAACCGCTCAAATGATGCTTCGTACGCTCATCCGTMCGGACCAGAAAGATTGGGTTGACCACCTCCCCGACATCGAGTTCGCCTACAACACTTCGGTGCATCCGGCGATCGGCGTGACTCCATTCGAGTTGCACYACGGTGGACGGAAAGGCCGGGTTTTCGCCGACCTTCTCCTCCCTCGACCAGCCGACATTAACGCTGCCTGCTCTCCCGCGTCCGTCCGGAGGTACAGGGAATTGTTGACTCAAGCCCGCGCAAATATGCAAAAGGCTCAAGTCCGCATGCAGCAGCAAGCCAACAGGCGTCGCGTACCATGTCCCATCCACGTCGGTGATCTGGTTTGGGTCTCCGCGGAAGAGTTTGCACTGGAACAGGATGTTTCACGCAAACTGCTTCCCAAGTGGTTTGGACCTTGGTCTGTGACAGCAACCGAGGGCGATGAGCCCGATGGCCCTTCATTTGTGATCAACATTCCAGAGCATCTGACTGTCCATCCGGTCTTCCACGCCTCGAAGCTGGCAACATACACGCCTGCCAAGAGCGACGACTTTCCTGACCGACGATCGCAGGACCCTCCTTCTATGGATGGCCATCAGGTAGTTGACCGCGTCATCTCCGATCGCAAGTACGGCAGCAAGCCGCGGCAGTACAAAGTCACATTCAAAGCATGCGATCGCGACGACACTCGGTGGATATAAGGCACAGATTTGAAAGCATCCGCACCGCTGATCTACGCGCATTATGAAAAGCGGAGGTTAGCTCAAGAAGCTTCACGACCAGCCCCTCCCACCCGGACTGTGGTCCCTCCCTCAGACAGACAGCTTCACCCTCGCAGGTAAGCTCGGTTCTTCAAGGAGGGGGGGGTGTGGCATACTGTGTAGCCACACGGGCCCTTCAGGGCCCATCCCGGACATTCAGCCTAAAAGCGTAAAACCTAGGGCTTACAGGCCCCGTTCGTTTCAGCCTGGATGCTGAAAAACGAGGGCCTGCAGGCCCTACCCCGTTTTAGCCTATTTCTGGGTCTTTTCAGACCCAAAGTTTTCAGCCTGAAACGGAGGGCCATTTTCAGGCCCTCATATTTTCGACCTGCCCCTAAGACTCAGGCACGTAAACAGGGATGCGGAACAGGCCAAAAATAGCCTGTTCCTCACGAGTTTGAGCAGGAGCTGCAGCTGCAGCCCCTGCCTCCCTTCGGCAGGCTCAGGAGGCACACCCGTAGTCCATAGGAAGTTCCCATGCACTTCACGGGTAGGTAGTGTCAGTAGGCACGGGTAGTCTTCAGGATTTCGGCCGCAACACTCAGGAGGAGCGCTGCAGTAGTCTTCAGCGCTAGGCAGTAGGTATTAGCGCTAGCTGTAGTCTTCAGCACTGGGCGCCATAGCTGTAGCTGTAGTCTTCAGCGCTGGGCACTAGTAGGTGGTAGATCGTAGAGTGGGAGAGACACTGGCGGAGGCCAGTGTTACTTACCTGTGGCGCCATCGCTCTAGCTCCGTCTTCGTGGTACCTGCATCAAGGCGCCAACTTCACAGGTTAGTACTGGACACAGAGAGAGAGAGAGAGTTCTTCTTCTTCCTCTTCTAAGTCCACCTTCTCTTTTCACCCTCTCGCCACCCGACTTCTCATACTACAACAGAGAGAGACAGAGTTGTGACTTGAGACTTGACGACATTGGATCCAGACTTGACATTTGGGATTCAGACATTTCGAGGAGGGACTATTTGGGCTTGTGCCGAAGACTTGGTGTTTACGACATTCCCATCTTCCCCCTCCTCTTCGTCTATCCCCTTACTCTTCATCTGTGTATGGTACGGGCTGGCGCTGTCTTCCTGTGTGAAGCGCCAGGCCCATTCACACCATGTAACGATGATGATGATGTATGTTCAGGGCTGCATTACAACATTGATTGTTCGGATCACTGGTATCTAAGTCTTCCGTTGTGCTATCTTATACTTTGTATTGAAATGTCGGTTCTTGTTCTGGTCTGCACGTTACAGTATGCAACACAAATGTTGTTTGTATCATTATTCTGCACAACATACTTTTGTTTCAGATTTTTTGGATTTTTTTTTTTT